GTGGGTTCTCCTCAGGCCCCACGTGAGCCCAGAAATGCCATCTAGGAGCCAAGGCCTACAATCAGGGACCCTAGGAGCTTGCTTGATGATCTCTCTAACTGGTTGAGCTAGTACTCAAGCTGCAAGACAAAGTCCATGTTGTTGTCTCTCCTTTCCAAAAGTGCAAGGAGTATATCCCCATGGCCACCACACTTGGGAATGTACTGGTTCACACCCAAAGACAGCATGGCTCTGAGTCTTACCCAAGACTTTTGGTGAATATGCCTGGCTACTAATGCTGCAAAACCAGAGTTGCCACTGTTATATGTTCCTTAGTCCTTTTTAATGCTTCTATGTCATATTACCTTTTTGGAATATTTTCTTTGCTGGACTCTAAGTTCTGTAGGGTCTGGACCTATGTCTATTTGATTTACTAGTATATGATTCAGTACCTAGCTCATGTTTGTTCATGTTCAGTACATGCCTGTGACTGATTAAATGAGGGATTTCTACATAACTTAGGTGATGAAAAAGCTGGGAGTTATCTCATATGATGGGATTGTAGTGTTTTAATCATAAAAGGATTTGGTGAAATATAATAAAAGAAAGATAACTATTTGAAAGATAATCAAATAGTAGGTTATAAAAGTGTAGTGCTAAGGGCCCGACAGGGTCATGGGGTGTCCCTTATGCTGCACTGAGGCACAGGATCCGAGAAATAGAGACAGGACACAGAAGTACAAGAAAAACGCAGCTGGGCTTAGGGGAGCCGCGTCACCTATAAGTGAAGACGGGCAAGGCCCTGAATGTCTAGAAGTGTCTGTATTTATTGTGTATATTGTTAGGGGGCAGGGCAGTGAGTGAAGTCATCTTTAAGGATAGTGATAGGGTTGTGAGCAATAAAACAAGGGTTCCACCCACATTAGGTCATCTATCCTAGAAGGTGGACAGTGCAGCAAGGGGTCTCTTCCCATTAAGTGATCGAGGCAAGGAAGTGGGCTGTGTGCAGTAAGGGGTCCACCGCCATTAGGTCACCGAGGCATGGAGGTGGGCCGTGCGCAGTGAAGAGGGTGCAGCGTGCAATACCTCTATGGGAATGCTACTTCTAAGAAGTTTTATAGGAGGATGCTTTAAGTCACACAGCTGTGACAGAGCTGTCAGGGTTACCGCCACCTGCTGGCAGCTTCCAATTATTTCTATAGAAAGATGTTTTTGGGGTAGCACGGTAGCAAGAGCTGATAAAGTTCAGTCACCAAGGTGGGATTATCTAGAGGGGTTTTGAGCCCTCGGATGCTTGAGGGATTGCTGGTCTGGGGGCAGCCTTCCACAAGAACTGGAGCAAGGTCCTACAACTCCTTTATCAGGAGGAGTGGCTCTTGCCCCAAGCTTGCCATACAGCGGGTATCTTTACAATACTGAACGCTGCCGCCTGGGCCATGGGTTCTTGTCCTGGTATAAGTGTCTTTCCCTTAAATCATGCTCTGCACTGTGTCTGCTCCAGACATTCCTCCGACTATAAGCTGCTTATTACTTAATTCATGCTCTGTACCGTGTCTACTCCAGGCATTCCTCTGATTATGAACTAAGATATATATATATATATATATATATATATATATATATATATATATATATATAAATGAGTAGTAAGATATTCTTTAGGCACTCATTCTATGAACTTATATATGATTATATATATAAAGGATTATATAAAGGGAAATAACTGAGTAGTAACGCTATAAACTGAGATATCCTTCAGGCCCTAATTGTGCCAGGATTCTGCTTAACTCTCCTTCCTCAGTACCTATATGGGGGGTAACCCACATAAAAGTACAAGGAGGTGACATAAGATTGAAAGAAAAAGAACCAAGAGTTAGACAGATCGGAGCCACAATTTTGGCTTTAACCCATTCCAGCTTCATGACAAAGAGCCACCTTCTTAACCTCTCAGTATCACATATGTAAGATAAGTATGTTATTGCTAATCTCACAGAAATGTGACTACAGTTATGAAATTCACTTATATAACAGTGTCTCTTGTGAGCGTTTACTTCGAAGATGTTAAATATTATGCATTTACTTCGAAGATGTTAAATATTATTTATTCACTATTATTTCTCCTTGGTATAATTCCTGAGCAAAGAACTGAGTAAAAGATATGAAAAGCTCTCACAGGCTTGTTCCAAACCTGATTAAACCAGATACTCCTCAAGTTTGAGTTATGCAGTATGAGAATAGGTCATTCTGAATCAGCATGCAAAATACGTATACACAGTAAGCACATTCTGAGTGATGAGGATGTCGAACACTCTACAACTGCATACTTTAAGAATGGATAAGCTTTATGTACCCACCTGGGGAAGATTGTGTGTGGTCTTTGCTTCTTTGTATATTTACTTCTCCCTTTACCCCTAACTGCCTGATCATTCCTGTATTTTTTTGTCTCCTTCGTAGAATCTACATTCGTTTAAGTGAGTTAATTAGATCACTTAGGCTAGAAATCTCCAACCCCTGGTATTCAAAATAATTCAAATAGAGTTGACCTATGATCAAATTTTGTTTTGTTTTTGTCATTTGAACTTTCCTTTTTTCACCCATCATCTTTGGCAGATTAATAATTATGCACATTAATTATCCTTAAATATAGCTTTCGTTTCCAAAAGGCATAATCATGGAAATATATCATTGGAAGTGTGCTTCATTACATTGAGTATATTTTGTATTTCAGTTTGGGAAGCAGCATATAGAGAACCTCTTTAGTGACCTACAGGATGGGAGACGCCTCCTAGACCTCCTCGAAGGCCTGACAGGGCAAAAACTGGTACGTTACTTATTTTTTTTAAAGTTAACGTTAAACTTAGTAGAATTTTAGACCAGAAATGAACATAACTTTGAGATCTAATAAAATTAACTAATTTACTGAGTACTGATTTAACTAGCAATACATATTTCTGAGTAAAGCAAACTCATATGATTTTCATTTGGCATAGTCTATAGAAAAATAAGGTAAATTTCAGTAATATAATTGATACCAATAGATATTACTCAGTTTTACTAATTGGTTTCTTATCAAATGTCTTAATGAAGGCTTTTATACATAATGACTTTAAAAATTATCTTTATACTTTTGTGTATTTTGAAGTTACTTTACAATGAGCCTGTATTAGTTTATAAATCAAAAATGTGGGATACCATAATAAAATATAGGCTTTTTAGTGTAATATGTAAATAGCATATGTGATGAAAATGTAACTTACTCTTGAACTATTATCTGGTCTAACTTCACGGCATTCCTGTGAGACAGATGATTGTTACACATGATTACAGGTAAATTAATTTCATGTTGATCAAGGTCTTATGGGGAGAAGAACGCAAATTGAAATTCCCTGACTAAAATAATCTTGTTAGATTGCTATTATTCTAAAAAGTAGACCTTAAGCCCCCAGTCTACAATCATGCTGTTCCTACCTATCAAATAAACTCTGCTAAATTATTGCCTTAACCTCTTCTCTTTGCCTTTCATTAGAACTCCCCAGCACATGAATACCAACACACAGATTTTATCATGTTATACAAACTCGAGTTGTCATTCAAAGTTGAAGTTAAAGAAAAATATTATCTCCCCCAACCTGCCTCCTATAACTCTTATGCTAAGCCACTTTTTCTCATTATGTACTGCCAGATTATCTGATTTTTTTGCCTGTACTGTTTTACTTGCCTGTATTTCTTTCTGTACTTGTCTACCCCAACAGTTTGCCAGAAGCCTTGATTTCTCCTCAGTAAAGCCTTTCCCAAATGACTTATGCTAATTTTTCCCTCTTAAATTCTACAAAATGCCCATTTTTGTCTTTACTGTTTTGTTTTTAGTGTATATATGACTATGACATCTCTTCTCAAATTCTGAAGTCCTATAGAGAAGAGACATAACTTTCATTTTATATCTTCAGCTATGTGAGATTAATATTAAATTAAAGCTTATATATTTAGTTTATATATCAAACCAGAACTGATATGTTTTCAAGAAGTCTGAACTTGTACCGATATAAGAACAACTTGATGACATAGTGAAATAACTGTAGTCATGGGAAAAAAAATCAGTGCTATTGCCTTATAACTGAACTGTTTTCTTTGAGGCAATTTAAGGTCATCATGTAACCTTAGTCTTTTTACTGGTTAGAGATATAATCATTCATCTCCTATATGAACAAGTTATATATGTATATATGTGTATACATGTACTCGTGTACGTTTGTACGTGTGTGTACATGTGTATGTGTACACGTACACATATGTATATATGTATACGTGTGTATGTGTATATATGTATATATGTTTGTGTATATATAGATATATACATATATCTATATACACACATATATATATCAGTGTGTCCCTATGTATCTTGTTACTTCTGTATTCTGGGGTAAGTCCTATTTTCAGTTACCAAATACAGATACTCCAGTGACTTTGAAATGTTCATGAAATAATCTTTGAAAGATTGTGGCTTCCTTAACCTGTCTTGGCCCTCTGTACAAGGCTTTTGGTTTCTTCACTTCCGGGTATCTGCATGATCACTTCTCGTGCTGCAATTCTCTTTGGTCATTGTATTTTCTTTTCTTTTTTCTTTCTTTTTCTTTCCTTTTTTTGAGACAGTCTCGCTCAGTCACCAGGCACCAGGATGGAGTGCAGTGGCACAATCCTGGCTCACTGCAACCTCCACCTCCCCGGTTCAAGCAATTCTCCTGCCTCAGCCTCCCGAGTAGCTGGAACTACAGGTGCACACCACCATGCCCAGCAAATTTTTGTATTTTTGTAGCAGAGACAGGGTTTTACCATGTTGGCCAGGATGGTCTCGATCTCTTGACCTCGTGATCCTCCCGCCTCGGCCTCCTGCAGTGCTGGGATTACAGGCGTGAGCCACCACACCCTGCCTTTGGTCATTTTCTTGACTGAGGCAACCTGTCCATCACCCAAAGCAATTTTGTTAGGGTTAAAAAAACATTTAAAATAATGAATTTCATATCCTTTTGTAATTCATAAGCATGATGATTGGGTGTTTATACTCATGTGTGGGATATGCTTCCCTCAAAACTTATAATGTTGGCACATTACCCATCTGACATGAAGAAACAATTACTAATTTCAGCAAAATTAAAAAAATTAAAAAGCACTTGAGTTTTTCATTTATATACACATATATACATAGATGCTAAGACAAAATGAATCTAATTAGTAATAGCACTAAAGAAAAAATAGCAAAATATCTATGGGATTGGCCATTATGGGGTAAGCTAGTGGTGGGGAAAAATCACCAAATATTTACACATGCCAGTATAGATGACATAATTTCCAATACTGCTACTAACAGAATCCGTAATCTATTGTTTGTCCTAATCGCTGGTCTGTCAGCCCTGGTCTGATGATTTCGCCTTTTCCATAAAGCAGAATCGCCTCTCTAATGAATGCTCCCTATCCCAGAACTCCAGTTCCCTATACTTAGTCTTGAATTCTAATAGTTTCTGCAGATAGATCTTCTCCTAATGGGAGTCGTGTATACTATTGAACAGAAATTTTAGTATTCTACTCGGAAGCATCTGCATTTGGATTATTGGCTCAGGACATCCCCAGGGCTAAAAGGAAGGTACTTGCCTTACAATCATAAAATAAGAAATACTCCCCAAGGAGACTCTAATAGGTGCAGATTTTAGGTTCCCACTTTAGGATAAGAAGCTGCAGCTTTTCAAAAGAGTAGAGTATCTTGGGTTCTAATACATACGCACATATGTGTACATCTAATGTCTGAGTATGATACAAAGGAAAATGTTGCTAAATCTTATGACTGTAATTCTGCAACTGACTAAAAGGAAATATATGGCTTTTGTCTAAGTATTGGGCAAAGGATTGATGTAATTATTTTCAAAACTTTAAAGTCCTAAATTTACCATTAAACTTGTATGCCATGAATCTGTAGATACACAAGAAGCCTGGTTATTTGCTGCTTTTATCTTTTTTTTTTTTGACAGAGTCTTATTCTGTCACCCAGGCTGGAGTGCAGTGACATGACATGATCTTGGCTCACTGCAACCTCTGCCTCCTGGGTTCAAGCAATTGTCCATTCTTGGCCTCCTGAGTAGCGGGGACTACAGGCATGCTCCAACATGCCTGGCTAAATTTTGCATTTTTAGTAGAGAAGGGGTTTTACCATGTTGGTCAGGCTGGTGTCAAACTTCTGACCTCAAGTGATACACCTGTCTCAGCCTCCCAAAGTGCTGGGATTACAGGTGGAAGCCACCGTGTCCAACTGCTGCTTTAAAAAATTTTTTCATTTAAAGTCTTTCTACAGCCTTGTTTTCTTCCTCTTTTTGGTGGAAAATGGGAAAAATATCAGAACGTAAATGTACATCATTCAGATGTTCTTGGAGGAAAATTTTCTAGGAGGTGAAAAGGGAGATTCTGGTTCATAAAGTTAGCCTTAATGTTTCGTGAAGTCAAAGGAATCAGATGTCAATACCGTGTTATAAAGAATATCTGGCAAGTCACTTTGGAGAGTAAGATGGCTTTAGCTTAATTTGGGTTGTTAAGCAGGCAATGCAAATGATAAGGAGTTCTAGGGTGAGGAACTGCTCAAGAAAGATGGGAGCATTGCTGGAAAGTATAGGCGTAAAATGCAAAAAAAGAAATAGAGATTATTTGTTTGATGCATGCACAAGGTGGAGAAGAAGGAAATAAGTTTTGCAAGAGTAGAGTTGTACAGACACAGAAAAGAGTTTGCGTCCTGGCTCCATGAATTGTTAGTTACGTGGCAGTCAACATATTAGACCTTTTAACTTGAGGTTCACTTGTCTACACTGGGGATGAAACTCTCTGCCTTGCAAGGTGGGGATTAAAGGTAGTGCATTGAAAGTACTTGGCACATACTATGAGGTCAATAATTATGTTGTACCAACTATGTGACAAGTACCAATCTAAGTGCTTTATGAATATGAACACACTGAATTCTCCCAGAAACCATATTGTACAATGGTTTCAGCTATATGAACAATAATGTCAGTAGTGCCCCGGATAAGGTCTGGATGCTGTGAGATAGCATGCTCCATGTTTGAGTAAGGGCCTTGATCCCAAATGCAGAGAAACTATCTCAAATTCTCATGTAAATCAGAGCAGTTCTTACTGAGAGCACATGCTGTAATTTGTGTATGTCTGTGGCTACTATTTTTATTAAGTCCATTTTTAACAGATGAGAAAACTGGTGTACAGGGAGATTAAAATTTTTTACCCAGGTCACACAGCACAGAAATGGCAGAGATGAAAATTGAACCCAGGTAGTCAGCTTTGTAGTTCTTGCCCTTAACTGTTGACTATAGTCACCTAACAGTTGAGATGAGAACTTTGCAAGTGGTTTGCATTGCCAGTGGGGTTACTTCAGGAACGTCAGTGTTGAAGATATGCAGGATGGATAAATAAAGAAACGGTGAGTGAGTAGAGAAGGGAAGGAAGTTATGTTTTCCAGGCAGTAGCTAATAAGGGCAATGTAGTAAGGTAAAAAAACCAAAAGTAAAAGGAGTAAATACAACAGGCACCATTGTAGTTGAATTTCTAAAACTCTACAACTGAACAAATGAGTTAATTTGTATATTGCAGAGAACTATACAGATATTAGTTGAAAAATTATAGGGCAAGATACAAATTTTTGGATTGAGATTAAAATGGGGAACCAAAGATGATTGAGGTTTTCAGCTTCAGTGACAAAGACAATTAAGGTAATCTCTTCACAGAAAACCTTTCATTTAACCCCATTTGGCATTATGTTATTTTGCTAGAGTCAGATCTTTAAATTTTCCTTAAAAGCTTGGGAATTAACTTGCTTTTCTGTCTTCCTAGCGAATGATTTTATACTTGCCGATATTTCTCTCATTGGTGGTCATGCAATAATCCCCAACTGAGCTATAGAATGAAGGAACAATCATCCCAGAATAGCCTTTGTAAAGAAAAAAGTGTTGCCATTCTTAGACAGTGGTTCGTTTATGCTAAAAAAATGTACCAGGCCAAGGACAATTCGCCCAAAGTATTTAGATTCATTATATTAATGCCCCACAGCCGGTGTTCATTTAAAATACTCAAAGTTAACAGTGAAATTCATAGATCGTTTCATTTCTGGTAGATTGTTGGTCTCTCTGCTGGTCAGTGAACACTCTTTCATTTTGTTTTCAGCCAAAAGAAAAAGGATCCACAAGAGTTCATGCCCTGAACAATGTCAACAAGGCACTGCGGGTTCTGCAGAACAATAATGTAAGTAGTGCCCTGGACAAGGTCTGGATGCTGTGAAACAGCATGCTTCATGTTTGAGTGAGGGCTTTGGCCTCAAATGCAGAGAAACTATCTCAAATTCTCTTGTAAATCAGACCAGTTCGTATGGAGAGCACATGTAATTCACGTACGTCTGTCTGTGGGTAATATGATTCAGGAAGCAAATGCATGCTGCCACAAAGGAAAGGGAAAGGCACTGACCAGATCTGATAGGCTGCTCCCTGTTGTTTTCAGATTTTACTTCATGCAGCTGTTTGGTGGACAGAGTCCTGCAGTGAACTCAGTTTCTTTTCTTAATGAGTTGGAGTCTCCCTCTGCCTCCCAGGCTGAGGTGCCAGTGGTGTGATCTTGTCTCACTACAACCTCCACCTTCTGGGTTCAAGCAATTCTCCTGCCTCAGCCTTCCTAGTAGTTGGCATTAGAAGCACATACTACCATGCCCAGCTAATTTTTGTATTTTTAGTAGAGACAGGTTTTTACCATGTTGGCCCAGCTGGTCTGGAACTCCTGACCTCAGGTGATCTGCCTGCCTCAGCCTCCCAAAGTGCTGGGATTACAGGTGTGAGCCACCAAGCCCGGTGACCTCAGTTTCTTATAGCAGTGTTCTGTGTAACAAATGGATTTTACTACACCAAAAATTTTATATGTGCTAAGTGTGTTCAAATCTCATGATGGCATTTGTTTAAGCCAACACTAACACCACCTCTAAGCATATACATTACACAGAAACATCACTATCTTTACCCTGGATAAGAATGGCACATTTGTTTTCTATTACATTTGGTTTAGATTCAACTGGACTAAAATACATGTCTTGTATTAGAAGAAATGAACAATTGGCTGGGCGCGGCGGCTCACTCCTGTAATGTCAGCTATTTGGGAGGCTGAGGTGGGTAGATGATGAGGTCAAGAGATAAAGACTGTCTTGGCCAACATGGTGAAACCACGTCTCTACTAAAGATACAAAAATTAGCTGGGCATGCTGGTGCACACCTGTAATCCCAGCTGCTCGAGAGACTGAAGCAGGAGAATTGCTGGAACCCGGGAGGCAGAGGTTGCAGTGAGCCGAGGTTGCGCCACTGCACTCCAGCCTGGCGACAGAGCGAGACTCTGTCTCCCCCCCCCACAAAAAAAGAAAGTGGGCGGGGGGGGGGAGGTCAACAATCACAGCTAAACCAAGTAGGCAGGTCAGAGGAGGTCTAATCTCTGAATAACTTGGCAATTCCTTCCCTCTATCATGGCATTGGAGACAGTCCTCCTTTCTTAACATCCTAAAATATTTGTAATTGACCAATACGTTTACCAGGTACTTGTAGTAGCTTCCTAATTCCATCACCCCTTTCTTTCAAAGATAAATTCAACTACATTGATTACTTACTCTTAAAATAACCATAAGCAGGGATAGAGTAATAATAACATGTACTTCAGAAAATGTTGCTCAGCTTATCTGGCAGGGAGATGACATTACACAGGAGATGGAAAAGGAAACTTTGCAGCAATTAATTGGCTGATTTTATGAATTCAGGGTCATTGTCACCTTTAACGTATGAAAGTTATTTTATAGAGATGTTTGACTGCCTTCTGAAGAAATTACAGATTTTTTACTTTGCAGGCAGAATAAAATAATCTAGGAACTGTTTTTTCTCATTAGTCTGATAGACCCTTTGGAAATATCAGTGTCATCTACATTATGAAAATTATTAAATATTAAAGTTACACAAAGAATATGTCTGAAATATCAGAATAGCATACTCCATTTCAAAATGTAACAGTGAAGAAAAGAGCAGAACATAGAATTATTAGATTTAATTTATT